TCCAGTAGTTTGAGCATGTTGTCCTTGGAGATGGTTTCATTGGGGTCGTGTTCTTGTTCAAGTAATGTTGTCATTGTTTCCCTTGCTAGTGGTATGTCTATTGATGTGAATAAGGCAGTGACATCAAACGATATCATGGTCTCTTCATCCTCTATCTTTATGTCTTTGATGGAGTTGAGGAATTCTTGGGCTGAGTGGATAGAGTGGGGTGACTTATTGACTAGGTGCCTGAGTCTTCTTCGTAGTTCTTTGGCTAATCTGTGCGATGGAGTGCCTGGTAGGGAGACTTCCGGCTTGTGCACTTTAGGTAGTCTGTAGAATCGGGGTGTGTTGGTCCCTTCGGGTTTCATTTTTAAGAAGTCTGTTTTGTTGATCTGTCCTGTTTGTTTAAGTCTTTGTAGCGTGTAGAGGATTTTGTTGCCTAGTTGCGGTGTCTGGTCAGTCCGTACTGGCCGGTATGTGTTCTCGTCGGCGAGCAGTGCTTATGCCTTGGAGATGTCGTCTCTTTTATTCATTATCACTGTCATGCACCCTTTGTCTGCAGGTAGTATTGTGATGTTCTTGTCCTTCTTTAATCCGTCCAGGGCTTGTCTTTCCCGTGTGTTGAGGGTGTTAAGTTCACTCCTTCTGGTTAGTGTCGGGACTACTGTCAGTCTTATGGTTTGTTGTGTTTCTTCGTTGATATTGTTTGTCTTGAGTGTGGCTTCCAGTGTAGCTAGGAATTCCGTTTTGTTGGCGTCCCTGTAGTTGTAGTTCAGTCCTCGGGTGAGAACGGCTTTTTCCGTGTCTGTCAGTTCTCATTTTATAGAGGTGTAGGAATTCTTGTTGTTTGTCTTTAATGAATTTCAGATATCTGGTCAGCACAGAGTTGGACTGAAGGATCTGTTTCCATGCCATATATCTCCAAGACTCGGACTTTCATAAACCAATTTTCTCCCTCTGTATTCACTTTGAGTTATCTACTGCTGGTTACTAAAACTCAGCAGACCAGTTTTGTTAACCGTAGGTTGTTAATCCCGCTCATGTGTTCCTTCTTTTTGACCAGCATAAATGTTTGTTGAGCACAATTATCTGCAGCTGCAATCTAGGGGCAATCTAGAATGAGGTATAACAAATTTTAAAAGGAGATGAGGAGGAATTACTTCTCTCAAAAGGGTCTTGAATCTGTGGAATTCACTACTCCAGTATTAGGGATGAACCAGTGGCTCAATGGTTAGCACTGCTGCCTCACGGCACCAGAGACCCAGGTTTGATTCCATCCTCGGGTGACTGTCGGTGTGGAGTTTGCACATTCTCCCGTGTCTGCACAGGTTTCCTCTGGGTGCTCTGGTTTCCTCCCACAATCCAAAGATGTGCAGGCTAGATGGATTGGCCATGCTAAATTGCCTGTAGTGTTCAGGGATGCATAGATTAGGTAGGTTATAGGGGGATGGGTCTGGGGGCTTGCTCTTAGAGTCAGTGTGGATTTGTTGGGCCGAAGGGCCTGTTTCCACACTGTAGGGATTCTACGATTCATAAAGTAAATTTGAGGAGAGACATATTTTTACTTTGCAATGGGTTGAAGGATTATGAACAGCAGTTAGGAAAATGATGTTGAGGCCAAGACAAAATCAGCTATGACTGTTTTAAATGGCAAAGCACGTTTGCTGGGCTGAATTGTCTATTCCTGCTAGATGTTCTCATGTTCTTATGCTCTCATGCTCATTCACTGACTTTCCCTTCAGTCTATCTTCCCAGTCTGCTTTCGACAACTTTCCTCATACCTCTAATTGCTCTTATTTACTAGTTGAGGACACCTGATTGAGACCAGAGTTACTCTCCCTCAAACTGACTTTGAAATTCTACTATGTTACAATTGCTAACCCATTGAGGAACCCTTAAGTGTTTTTCAGTCAGCCAATCAGCTGAACACATCTTAAAGATGTATTTAGGCTCAGTATGTAAACTGCTGAAGAAAGCCAACACAAAATGATCAGAGATAGTAGGAACTGCAGATGCTGGAGAATCCGAGACAACAAGGTGCAGGGCTGGACGAACACAGCAGGCCAAGCAGCATCATAGGAGCAGAGAGGCTGACGTTTCGGGCCTAGACCCTTCCT